CAGCTTTGTGGCTTTAGGCTCAGCACAGCTGCCAACACATGAATCCGACTCCTCCGTAGAGCCCTCAAGATGCTGAATAAAATCTACAGGCGCCAACAAGTTAATCCTTGTTTATACAGAACAATCGCTGCAGTTACTGGCTGAAACTAATCATCTGAAACAGCTGCAAGGAATCTGGTAAATGTGTCTCCATGCAGCAGAAAAGAAAACAAAGAACAGATCTCATAGTGGCTGAGATGAAGCTGCTCAGAGGTTAAAGATCGGCTGTAACCTGTGAAACCTCTCCTACCTGTACGCATCGCTGGAGCGGCCGGCGGGGAAGTTGTTGGCCGAGGCGTAGATCTGAGTGGATGGAGTCGAGGTGGAGGGGATGCCCTTGGTCTGATCTGGGCCTTGGAACAGGGACGGATACAGTTCTGGCTTGTCGATGCTCTTGCTGTGGTCCGGTCCGGCGGCTGTTACGGGCTGCACCGGCATCTGAGGACCAACAAAGCCGTCATGATCAAACCTCAGAACAAGCAGCAGAGACGAGATCCTCTTCCAGGAAGGACAAAGTCAGTAATTACAGAAACACACGACTGAGGCTGCAAATAACTATTATTTTAATTGTCTATTAAACGGTCGATTACTTTCTGTATTGATCGATCTGTAGTTTGGTCGATACGCTGTCAGAGAAGCCCAAGACGACATTGAGTCTACTGTCACAGAGGAGGAAAGACACCGGAAAGTATTTGAGGAGCTGCATTCAAACAATTTACTCTGTTTTTATTTTTTTAAAAAGTACTCAACCTGATGAACTGATGATAGCTGATGGTTTGTTTAAAGGCTTGGTAGGACGAGGATAACAACGATAAAATATTAAATAAAGCGGAGTTCTGCCGGTCCAGAGGGCTGGAGCTGAACGTTCAGCTGCTCTTTAACCACGGCTGGCGCCGGTCCACAGCAGCTGCAGCTCCACCAACCAACAGTGAAGCAGCTTTTATCGGCTCCCTGTCGGCTTCTCACTGCTCGCGGTGATTAAGTGGCTGTGTAATGTGAGATATGGTTTTCTTCTGCCATCAGCTCAGTGCCAGCAGAGAGTCCTCTTCTACCGGCTGTCTGAGGCCAACGCGTTGCTCACAGAACATTCAGGGAACCTAAAGGAGGACGTTCTCCTCGTTCACTCATTTGGANAGTGGGTGGGGCTTATATTCAGAGGGGCTCTATAGTCCAGACACTACAGCATGGAAACTCTAGTAACTGAGACAGACACAGATTTATCAGTAAACAAACTGGGACCATGACTCCTGCTGTGCTGGTTTACCTGGTTATTAAACTGCGGTCTGGCTCCGGCCCCGGTCCCGGGCCATCCTCCTGCCGGCCCTCCATGCAGGGGGCTGCTGGTGCTGGAGGGGGGAACCGACTGCGGGGGTCCGTTTTGACGAGACATCTGAGCCAACATCTGCCCTGCTGAGTGGGTGGGCTGGGCCATCTGTGGCGTCATGCTGACTGGCCTGTGGAGAGTCACAGCTCCGTTACCTCCCTGATACCGGGCCAAAGCAGAACCCCATGTGGTGCTAAATCTACTAACACGAGAGGATGTCCTGCACGAAGAGCAGCATGAATCCAGAGTTTAGTTCCATCAAAAGGCATCGCTACGTGAAACCAACAGGGTGAATTCTGAAGGGGTTCAACATTCACGAGGCAGCATCTGAACCCACTTAAAGCCTTTTGTTCTGTTCTGTCCTTCGTGTGGCAGATTCACGACTGCTGCTGCACATTTGTCACGATTACACAGAAACCCATCTGAAAACCAACCAGCTGGTAAATTACAAAAATGTGAGTTTCTTCATTCCAACTACAGCAGAGTTTACAGCAGTTAATAATCCCGTCATCTCCGTCACTGATAAAATCACCACACTGATAAAAGCAACACACCCAGACTCTGTCAGAGGGATGTAGCATGAAGCTAGTGACACATCCAGCTCTTTATGCTAGCTGGCTCGACCAAACCTAAAACTACAAACAGAACTCAATGGTATCACAGCTAACAGGTATCAGGTCATCAGCTTTCTTTATTACAGGTTTTCTTTATCCGTCTCTGAAGTTTCATGTCACTTTTTCCCTCATAAATTCTACCAACTGTGTGCCGTCTAGTTCAGTAAAGAGGAACAGGTTGTTATTATGGAAAGCTGAAGAATCTAAAGATGCATTACGGCATAAAGCCACACTGGTAATGCTGAGAATGTGAATATTTGAGCACTGTGCACATTAGAGCTCCACAACTTTAAACTTCACACACGTCACTACACATTTAGGTCTGACGTTGTCCCGTCATGAAGGAGACGTGGAGGCGACTTCAGTTTGTGGACAAATTAAAGTGAAATGAATGTTACTCACTCAATATTCATCTTTAAAAATGACCAAACGACTATTGTAGTAGTAGCAGCAGTCGCAGTATAAAACGGACCTGTCAGCTAAAAAGGACCAAAACATATAAACATACATGAACTGAATGCATGTTCTAGTGATGCAAATCATTTATGCTGCTGTAACGTCACAGTTTAGGTTCTTAACAGCTGATTTAAATCCTAAACTTGGACCAGAAGCTCCTCCA